CAAAGGCAACAGCCATCCTCCATCTCCACCTGGAGAAGCCTCTTGTAGGGTTTTCTTGCATCCTCCCAGGCAACCCCTTCCCTCTAGAGGCATTATCTGAAGCCACATCGATTCCCTAATCCCCTGATTTCAGATGAAATTACACTACTATGAGGCATCATTATCATCCAGGCTCTGACGCCTGCGCCAGGGATCGGCCCCCGCCGTGCTGGGTGCTGTGCAGGCATAGCAGGAGAGCTGCAGTAACACCTTGAATCGCGAATGGCGATGCTGTGGTCATTTCCTCCAGGATCTGCAGCTCATGTTATGCACTTTATCTATGTGATGAAGTGATATATTTTTTTTTTTTAGGAGGGATTTTACCTATCTGAGCCTGGGCTGTGGGATTAGGTTCATCAGCGGGTGAGATATGTCGAGGTTCACGTTTACTTCTTTATTTGCGTGAGTTTGGTTGGGTTTTTTTGCTGTTTATTTTTGCACGGAGGAAAAACAATCTCTCCCTGTTCTCCAACTAACTAAATAAACACAGCCCACCCCACTTTTGAACATCAGTGAAATCCATATCTGCAGTGACTCAGATGGTTTTCTTAATAACAGAGAGAGCTCTCGGTGTAGCCTGATTCTGTCCTTCAGATGGAAGACTTTAATCCTGAGTCTTATTTTTCACAGCATTCAGCTACTGGTTTTTGCGCAACAAATTACATCCATGCCTCCAAGCCAAACAAGGAGTGAAAATTTCTATTTAAAAAAATGTGGAAATAATACTGTCTATCTACCTACAGTACAATTCCATTTTTAAAGTGCTTTGATATTTTTAACAATATTAATATAATAACAGCAGCATGTGCCTATTGGATTAGTCTGTATTTTATAACTTGGTATCCAATTTCTCCCTTGTTTCCTGCAGGACTGTCACTATTAATTTCTACTCCCATTTTTTCCGTCAGTGTGAACATTGTCATTGGACTATTGTTTGTAAGTGATAAGCAGCCCCTAGTATTATTATTATTTCACTCCTGCTTGTTGAGCATCAACAAATCCACCAAAAATATTAAAAATTTGGTGGAAGTTTAACTCTCTCTTTGCCAGATGTTCCCCCTTCCTTCAGCTCAAAGGAACATACTTGCTACTATATTATCCAAGAATAAAAAAATAGTAGGAAACTAGCAGAAAGGCAATCTGTCACAGGGAAAAAAACCCAAAACCTCAGGGGGTAAAGAATGCCTTCACAGTATGGCTTTAAGGTTTTAATTTATATTGGTCCTGACTCATGACACAGCCAGAGCAAGCCCGGGCCTGGGAGTCAGGTCTCCCACTGACCCTTGCATAGACTGGTGGGGAGAGAGATGTCAGCTGAAAACTCCCAGGGATCACGGGGCTGCCAAGCGCTTTGAAAATGACTGCCAATTTGGCCTAGTCTCAGCTGAACACATGCCCAAGAGGGAGGGAATGCCAGTAATAAAGCAGTTTAGAGGGGAAAGATATTTCTTTGGAGCTCCCAGACCTTTGCAGCCTTTTTGTGTGGCGATACCGTTTGCAGACGTGCAGCTCTCACGGGCACGTACCTGCACGCACACGTGTGTGCACTCGTGTCCAAAAACACGGGCTGCAAAGTAACGCACAAGGTTGATACCCTCTTCTATGTTCACTATGCAGCCAACCTGCCCCTCTTTAATTTCAGAAGATAGCAACAGTAAAAGTGAATGAATTCCAAAACATATAAAAAAACCCCTGCAGACATTAATGGAGTGGAACAGGTGAATTCCAGAGACACCAGGAAGCCCTTTCCTGTTATATTCAGGTAAAATATATTCTGATTTTTCAGGGATGGGAGACAGTGTAAAACTGCAAAAATATATAACTTTGTTGACAAGTTGTATTTTTGTTGACAGGTTTCTCCAAATTCAGATAATAAGTGAAAGGTAAGATTTCCAGGCTTGTTTTTTGACTCCTACCTGTAAAAAAATACTATGCAGATGCTGTGCTTCTGTTAAGATGAGTTGTTGTAAAAGAAACCCAATTTTAAACTTTAAATCGTTTTTTCTTCTGTTTTATTGTACTCCATCATGATGTTTCAAGGTTAAGAAGGGGAGGGGGGCAAAAAAGCTTTGTTGAATTGACTCAAATATGAATGACTCTGCAATTCATTCAAGCTTTTTCTTCTTTTACTCAGATAACTAGTGACACTGGAGTAAATGATATTGCTCATTTGAGTAAAGGCTGCAAGATGAGGCCTAATATGAAGATGTGGGAAAGAGAATAGGAGGAAGAGTGTGGGGAGGGAGAAAAACACCAGCTGTATTGTTCATTTCCCAGAGCAGTGTATGAAGTGTGCCAGAAGTAAGAACTATTTGGTGCATATAACATGACAATTAAGAATACCTAGATGACAAAAAAAAAAGCAACAAACAAAGCACTACTTGGCAAGCACATTCATCTGCTGCAGCATCTGCCTCCAATATGCTTTATACTTGCATAGATACGTTTGGGAACTGAAAGGTAACAAGAATTTATCAAAGGATTAGCAAGCACTGATGCTGCCATTCACAACTGCTACAAATATAAATTGTCATAATCATATTACCCGTTCCTTAGTTTAATTTTTGCCAGGATGTCTTTTGTCTGAAATGCCAAAATGTAATCTAGAATTGGATGGATGCTGACACAGCTGAAATATTTTGCATTAGTCACCATGTAATATGCTTCCAAAAGTATTTTTTTTTTTGTCTATGTGACTGTACTCAAATAGAGGCTTAACAGAGATTTAGAAGATGTCAATATCTCCACCACTTCTTTCATTCAATTAAAAAGTTATAGCTTTTCTTTGGAAGGTTTTTTGAAAAGTTCTGGTAAGGAGGATGGCATCAGTGTAAGAGACTCACAACCTACACAACAGTCCCACAGTTACAGTATGTATATGCAATTAGGACACAGGTAGTTTCAAAGGTGTATTCAGACATGCATAGAGCAGAGAGTGGTATCCAGTGAGAAGCAAATCTGTGGTCGTTTCAGTGAAACATGTTTATACTTAAAGAGTTTTGCAGCTACGTATCCCTCATGCAGTGAAGTCTTTCTACCAATCCACACCTTGCAGATCTTCACATTTCAGAGCTGGAAGTGTTCGTGATGGCATCTCCAAAGGCTTGTGTTTGTCACTGTTTTGAGCCCCAGAGGGACTGAGAGTTAGTTATCTGCCACAAGGATTCAACACATAGCAACTCTGCTTTGCCAAATGCCAGAGCAGGTCAGTGAGACACCTGGGCTCTCTCCTGGTAGCACTTCTGCTGCTGCTGAGTGCCTGGGTCTGTTTGCAGAACTAGTCATTCAGTCTTAAAGTATATGCCACATGTGTATGCTGTGGTCTTAAAACCCCTATAAGCTCATGTTCTGGTTTTCTTTATATAGGTGTACAGTGGAAAAAATGGAGAATGCATAGGTGCAAAACCTAACCTTGGTTAAATGCTTATCTCAGATGAGGTTAGGCACCATCTGTAAATTGAATAGGACATTAAATCCAGAGTTATGAAGTCCCCAGGTCTGGGAAGCTGAGCCTTGTGTACACCACTGATGGGAGAAGGATCTGCTAAATGAAGGGAGGAATGATTTGCACATAGGAAATCATTGATCAAGTATTTGTATATACATGATTTTTTTTTCTAGACAACTAAACCTCGGATGAAAAATCTTTTGATATCAACCACGGAGATACTGGGAATGGGACTAAGAGAATTTTAGGGCCTGTTTCCTGAATTATAGATGGGATGCATGGTATGCTCCTCTTGAGCATATCATAGGGTTATGACTGCTAGACAGACTTTTCACTCTGCCCTTCTACCTTGTTCAGATTTAGGACTGTGTTTGCTGTTCTTGAGTCCCTCTATACTATTCCTAAAATATCAAGTGAAATTTATCAGAGTCAATATACAATTGTTTATGGATTGTCTTCTCAGTAGAGAGTTCTTGGTAACCACTGCAAATAGAGTTTCATTTGATACCACGAGCTGATTTCTTCCCTTCCTACATGTTTACTTCACCTTTCAACAATATTCTACCCCAGAAGGAAATGTAGGGCACAACTGTTAACTCATTTTGTTTGGAAACATAAAGCATTAACCAGTCATGAGGCATTTCTCTGACTCTGTATCGCTGGTGCATCCCTGAGAAGCAGTTTTCACAGAGCTGTGTCAGTGAGCAGATGAGCAGGTGGTGCCTATAACCCTGACTCAGTTTCCCAGATGTCTGGCTCCTAGCTCCTTTTGAGACTGAACCCTAAAAAGCAGGACCTTTGGTCTTGCTCTGAGCTGTGTAGACTATGTAGGCTCCTTGGTGAACTTCAGCAGGGTGGTGTGCGCCTGAATTCTTTGCTGGATGGGCATTGTGAAATACTAAGAGCCATAATTTATGGGCTTTCAAACAGAGGCTGGTCCTCAAACCTCTCTAAACCAAATACTTTTACATTATTTTCTTCTTGTATTTATCTGCAATTTCTTGACTATTTCTTCCTTTGTATCTGAAACCCACACAGTGTAAAAAATATCTCTTTGCTGGTTTCTAGGAATCTGAGATGCTTTCGTTTGATGGAAAGACAAAATGTAACTCTGAAAAGACTTGGCATTTTGGGAATGGTATTTAAGGCAATGGGAATGTTTTGCAGATTTCTGTTTCTACTTTGTGAAATTAGTACAACCCAAACCCAATTCTACATAGTGCATAAAACTCAGGGTATCTGTCTTCCCCTGTAGACAGCAACATACTAACATAATATGAAAAAAACCTACACAAGACAAACTTCTAGTTGATATCTCGCTTCTGGTAAAGTGGAATACTGTAATGGAAAGCAACACAGCTCTGTATCTGGCATTAGTTTCTTCAGACCATCCTGAAGTTTGGACAACAGAAATGTTACACAACTGTGGCTTTTCTGTGTCAGGAATGCACATCAATTCCTTTATATTGCCTTACTTTGAATGCAAAGTTTTGTGAATTGTTTCATCTCTTAGGTTTGGGCCTTCATCCAGGAGACTCCAGGTCAAATCTGTCTTTGCTATGGCGTGCTTTACTTCATTTTGCATGCACTAGACAAAGTTTAAACCCCAGGTGGTGAAGTACTAAAGTATGAAACTCTGAAACAGAATCTGATATGAGGAAACCAAATGGATGTTCTGCTGCCCTTCGCTCACTGGGACTTTCTAGGGAAGGTAAGAAGCCATAGTTTAGCTCAGTCTGCATGATAAATCACATGTGTTTGATGAGCATGCTGCTTTTAATTGTATGTCTTACAGTGTTAGAAAGTTATCTTACGGAGGTAGTGCCTGCCAAGTGGAGTTGGTTTCTTGGAAGGAGAACAAAAGATGAATAAGAAGAAATGAAAACAAAGTTTACCTGATTTCTAATTTTTTTCAGTAACACTAACGTGCTGGATGTTTTCCAAACATACAGAGAGCACAGTTGTGTCCATGTGAGTTCACAACACCCAGACAATGAGCTGGGGAGAGAAGTACAGTAATACTAAAGGGACAGCGTGACAGCCAGAAGACTGAGATGGGGTATTTTAGACACATTAGTGAGCAGGAAAAAGAATTCCAATGAATGAGTAATAGTGATTTGCTGCTGTAGTAAATAGAAGGAGAAGAAAAGAAATAAAAGGGAAAAAGAAAGGAGAGGGAAGAGATATTATATATATGTATATATACTTATTTTCTTGCATTTACACATTACTTACATAGTCTGTGTTCAGATGATACAACAGATAGGGCTTTGAAGTAATACAGACTTGTAGAAAGGCTGTCTGATGGAGGTAAATGGGGAAAGGTGGAAAGGCATAAGGCAGGACCTTATTCTCCAGGCCTCATCTGGTGTCTCATTTGCTGCTTCTAACACCACTGAAAGACCTCTGAGCACCATTATACTGTTATTAATAATGGCTGTGTCATGATTTCTGCTCAGCAGTAACAGCCTTAGGCAGTGCCTGCTCAGTGATCTGTGTGCAGTTGCTCTCCACCTCCTGGAATGCCAACAACAGGACGTTCTCAGCTCCTCTCGTAGCACTTCTTGTTTCATTTGTTCCCTTGTCCACACCTCTGATCACTCACAGCAAGGTCTTCTCTTATCCTGATACTGAAGTTCTTGACTTTATTTCCATGCTATTGCCTTTTCCCCCAGGCTCTTTTTTCAGTAGGACCAGTGTACGTTGTGGGCAGACATCAAACTTCATAAGGAGAGATCAGAACTGCACCACAACCCGGCGTCTTTGTAGCAGGAAAGACGTGGTTGTGGTTAGACAGAAATGTGCAGTGGCAGGTCTTGGGCAGGGATGAGATAAATGGACCCCCTGTTCGCCCAACAAAACCTGTGGCTTGCCCTGCAACCCAGAGGACTCACTTCTAGTGACAAATTAATAGTTTTCCAAAATAAAATTTCTTTCTGTAGTATAATATGTGATGCTATGAATAAAACAAGAAAGACAAAGACTTTGACAAAATAAGCTGTAGAAATTTTCAGGAACTTCTCCTAATTGCTGTGATTTAATTTATTGAAAAGGAATGTGGGTTTTTGAATGATCAAAGCCAACTTTCAACAATACCAAATAGGATGGAAAGGTGGATATCAGTCAGTAATTAGTAACAGCGTTTGCTGTGTGTGACAGTTTCCTGAGGAAAATCCAGTGTTTTTCTTCAGTGTTTGGTTGTTAGGTGGTGCATTGATGAGCAGATGAATGAATGAATGAAGCACTTCTCATTGCTTTTTTGTCAGTTAGGAACAGCAGTTGCAGAAGAGAATACTCATTTCTTTTACCATATTCATCACCTTAGTATCCAAGTACCCTCCAGTAGTACATTAAGCATGACTAACATCTGTTCTGTGTTTGTTTTCTCACCTCCTCTCCAAAGGGAATGTATATAAAGTGAACTGTTCTGGTTTGTTTTGATTTATATGTTACGCTGCTAAATGTTTATGTCAGAAGACTAAGTCAAAGAAATCCTTTCTGAACTTGGAGCACTGGCTCTGTATAAAGGTGTCTCTCAGTCATGTTTTTTTTTTTTTTCTTGTTCATAAACTTAGAATGGCCAGAGGCAGTTATACTGGCTATTCAGCTGGACTTTTTACAGGGGAAATAGTGGTGAAGAGAAAAACATTTTTATTATTTCAAAAATGAAGTATGATAACTTGATCAAAACCACATTTTGCACCGCTGACATCATGTCTTTCCATCTTCAATGATATAGGTCACCAGTGACCCCAATGATCTATTAAAATGATGTACCTAAGAAAGATATTTGAAAGCCAAATGCATCAGTGGCAATGTGCAACCAATCTGTCAGTGCAGTGGTGATGTAACTTGGCATTATCCCCTATCAATGAGCTCCAGAAACATATCTGGTACTTGAGTCTTTGGGGAAAGATCAATATGGTCAGCCCACATATCAGCTAGGAACATTTAGATGAAGCAATAAAGAGAGTAATAGAAAGATATTTTGCACATATGATGAAAAAGGTGGTGCCATTGATCCCTTGGAGAGTATAAAAATGGTCATTGTAGAAATGAGATGCTGAATCAGCCCGAAAGAGCTATCACTTACATTAATATTGAATTGTATGAGGATGGGAGTTTTGAATAGCAGTAAAAGGACAGGACAGTTGCATGTTTGTCCTTAAGCAGTAGACATTGCTGCAAAGTGATCAGTTAGGCAGTAGGATTATTAGACTTGTCTGACAGGCAGCTGTATTTATTTGTTCAATATTTGTGACAGTTTTTCATCAGAGACTGGTTGTAGAGAGTGGCTACATTTGTGCAGTTACCCTTCCTGAATTTATCTAGTAACAAGTAGCTCCCAAACCAGCCATCTTGTTGGCTGTGGTCCCTCACTGTCCTGTTTCCATAGTTAACACTTTATAAAAAGGTTTTCAGTGTTGCTTGTATCTTTGCCTAGGCTGTACAGCAGTTTTGTTGTGTCAGATTCTACCTGACTACCCACCTTAAATCATATAACTAATAATGTTTTGTACTGTTGGTAGCTCTGTGCCTCTGTAATTCTAGAAAACAACCTTTTCAGTGTGATGAATGGAAACATTGAACAGGAACTCCTCTGTATTCACTCTTCAGGTTAGCAAGGCAGTAAATGCTAACCAGCACAGCCACATGTCAGCCTGTGCAGAAACATCCTTCCAGCCTCTATGTATTTGGACAGAACTGTCAGTTCTTGCTATGGACTATGGATTGGCAGCATCTCAGCTGTAAAGCACACGTTGGGAATCAACATTTGGAGAAGTGCGCGTCTTCTGTGCGCCACAGTAAAAATTTTGCAACCCTAACATTTACGCTTAATAAAAGATAATCTCCTCCAACACTGCATAGTAGGAGGAATGCAAATCCTCTCTGGTGTCATACAGCTACAAGCAGAAGAGTTTCCCCACGACTCAGAGAGAAGCCTGCCATATCAATGTCTGCCTAGCAACTGAAAGGTGACACGTGGAGCCTCCTTTTCAACTCATTTCCTCTTGATGAGAGGAAGGGATCCTCCTGCGAGTTATTACCTGAAATAATACCATATGGTAAAATGTAAACAACATCTGCATATTCATGTAATAATTTCATCTGTTTAATTAGTTCCAGCAAAGCAGTTTACCCTCTGAGGCCCTTGCTGTCAGCTCCACGCTCATACATCCATGCCCTGCTGTCGAGCCTGACAGCCGTCTATTGTTCATTCACTGCTTCCACCTCGCCACTTAATGTAAGTGAATCTTCTGAGGGGTGGAAAGCCTGTCCCCATTGATCCAGATGTAAGGGCTTGGGGGGAGAGCGAGTAAATATCTGTCAGCCTGGAATACGGGTACTAACAGCAAACTTGACAGATCAGGTGGCTTTGTGGTTTTTTTTTGGGAGGGAGTGGGGGCAGGTTGGCTCTTGGCTTAAGTGCTGATGAGGACTGCAGGTTTGACTTCATGCAATTGTCCAGCCTTTGCTCTCAGGACAAGGCTATGAGTTCCCAAATCAGGTGAATTCAGCAGTGGAATAGCAGCCCAGCTTTTACAGTCAGCTGTGTTTCGGTGCCAAAGTAATGACAGCATGCCTACTGGTGCAGCAAAACACAGGGCCCTAGAGGGCTGTATGGATTGGCCAAACAGGTTTTCGGAAATGCATGTCAACAAACACTGCTCAGGACAAACTGAGAATGTAAAAGCGTTAAGTCTAACTGGAAAGGTCCCTGGAATATATTTCTAGAGTCTCCTGGCTCATGTAAATAAATTATACTGTGGGTCACATGTAACAATAAGCTGTTCAACTCACCTTTGAAAGGAAACATTTACATTATGGGAATATAAACACTCCATGGTAATATTATACCTAAGTAGATGAAAGTACTGCAGTTCGATGTGGTAAAGTCAATATCATAATAAGGTAATAATAATAATACTTACTACTTATATGGCCTTTTACAGATTTGAGCAAACATTAACTGATTAGTCCTCAGAGCACCCCAAGGGAAATAGGTAAGTAAGAATTATTGCCTTGTTGTAAAAATAATCCGTATCTTATCACACGCCCATCACCATGGTATCTACACAAATAACCCGTCTGGCAGACAGGATTCTTTCCATTGCCTTGTGATGCACTGAGCTGAGATTGCAAGGTGTGAGCTCAGCTAGAGAGATGTATCTTATCCGTTGTTTTAATGATGATCATACCTATATTAATAATACTATTCTTTTCAGAAGACTTGTGTCCAGTGGTGAGGAAGGACAGATGTCCCACAGCATTTGGGATCTTTCCTCATGGAAATGGCCAGCCCCACTGTCACTGAATGGCCTGTCTGCATGTCAGGGAAGGGAGATGTCTGACATACTCAGGGTCCAGATACTAAAAAGCAGATAAAAACTGCATTGTACCTGGATAGGTATGACTGCAGTGGAATAGTTTGTCCTTTGTCCTGTGCTTGCAGGAGATTCTTCATGTGCATCTTGGATCTTTGGATCCTTTTTACAGTGCAGTGAACACTTTCAGGCATAAGTTATAGTGGTTAAGTAAGAGGTACTAATGTGTTCATCTGTATGTTGAAAAAGGGGTGCTACTTGTTACCTGAAAGTGGTGATAACAGGTCTTTC